GCCGTCGGACAGAAGAGAAACACTACCACCCCCGCCATCATGGCCTCCCCTGGCGACGGATTCCACGACGACCTCCCCGCGCTGGAGTTTCGGTATGTCTCGAGCGGGGCTCCGAATTTCCCTGGCAGCGCACCCGAATAGCAGCAGCAGGGGGAGAAGAAGGGGAGCCCGGACTTCCGACGTCGCGAGGTCTTTCACAACGTGCCTCACCAGGGGTCTGGACCTTAGTGGGCCTTGGAAACGGCAGGGCCTTTTTTTTACCGTTTTCGAGAAGTGTCTCTTGAACATGGAAACGGTATAAAAAACGGCGACCGGAAACAGGAAACAAATTGCAACGAAAACAGCTCAAAAACGGCAGCGGGAAATTGCAGTTGGCGAGGGCAGATCAGGGCGACGCACGGAACCGGTTCGGAACCGGTTCGGAAACGGTGATCTGGCAGAGGGGCCCACCCCAGGAGTCGGAAACGGTAAAAGCACGGCAATCGGAAACGACAGAAAAACGGCGACGCAAACGACAAAAAAACGGCGCCGGAAACGACAAAATATCGGCAAAATGAAACGGTAAAAAAACGGCCTTGTCGTTTCCAAGGTCCACTAAGGTCTGGACTCCTGCCTGGGGTTCGGCTTTTCATCCTGGGCCGTGTTCCGACGGCCCCAGGGCCTGGCAAGGGCCCCCCCGAGGCCGAAAGTGGCAGAAACGACCCGACGTAGGGGGACGGGGAGGGGCTCCGCCATCGACACGGCGCAAGGGAGATGGGTCCCGCGACGAGAGCAGGCGACTCACCGAGAGGCCGCCGCGTGGGCTTCTTCGATCTGCGCTGGACGCCCCCCCGTGTCGGAGGGAAGAGAAGCGGGACCACCACCGCCAGGAGTGCCACCTCCAGCGAGGAGGTCCACGATGCCTCCCCGAGCTGGGGGTGGGGGGCGCCTCGAGCGGGGAGGGGGCGACCTCACCGCCACGAGGATTCCCACTGGCTCCTCGCGCTGGTGGTGGTGTCGCTCCTCCTTGCTCCTGCCCTGCACTCTGGCGCCGGCCGGGGGTCGCGCTCCGCGCGTCAGTCGGGGGCCCCCAGACGGCGCGGTGACCACACCGTGTACTGAGTCAGCGGGTATCCGAGGTGACCGCACGGTTCTGGGACATGAGTCGCTCTCCGAGCATGTCTCGGGCGGTTGGAGCATCCGAGGTCCCAAAACCGCCCGTCGACGGACGGTGCGGTGAGATCGTTTGGGAGTGCGATGTCACCGCACGGTCCGTCACCGGACCGTTTTGGGACGCCCAAGTCAAGGAGGGGTCCCAGCCCCGATCCAAGAGAACTTCCGACAGTTTCTGCGCATGTATATCTTATTGTTCTTCGGGGTGCGGCGACGCGCAGTTCGTGAAAGCAGCGACGCCACACCACCACGATGAGCTCCCTCTGCCTCTTTCGGGGGCGGCAAAGAGGGGGGTGATGACTAGGGGGGGGAGGGACATCATGGCGGGGCCATGATATCTCCCCAGATCATGGCGCCTCGCCTGATTTCGTCACGTCCCCAGCCCTCTTCCTGGTCCGCGCACGTGCCGCTGGCCATGATTTGCGCCCCCCCCCTCTTGGCCGCCCCCGACTCTTGGCCACGATCGTCTTCCCATACCACCGCCCGGTTGCTTTGTCCATCCCGGGAGCCCTGGAGCTCCCGGCCCCTGCCTTCCCCGGGGCCTGCGCTTTATTCAGGATCTGTGTGTGACGGCCCATGGGAACGGAAGATGGCCGAACACGCGGAGAAACGTGTTAAGTCGGGCCTGTCCCTCTACAGGAGGAATGTTCAAAAGTAGTCAAAAGATAGTCTGGGAACGATTTTTCAATTCTGTTTCACCATATTGGAGTATGTGTGGAGTATTTTTTATTTTCCGTCGAAAATCCTTTTGTAAAGGGAACATGCCCGACGTAAGATAAGTGCCAGAGCTGAAGCAGTCGATCCGCCGAAAGTCTGGGCGCGACGGCGACGACGATCCAGGAGGCCGAAGGGGGGCCAGAAACGTTCAAGGCCCTCCGTCCTCGATCATCCTCCTCCCTTGCTGCCCCACCCCTGTCCCGATCCAACTCGGGTCAAATTCGGTCCCCCGACGATCCATCGTGGCCAGTTTTTCATCCCCGTTTTCTGACGGCCCCAGGAGCTCGAAACTGGTCCCGAGGTACGTAGGCACCAAGAGAAGACTACGGCAATCAAAAGCCGACGAAAGGCCTTTCGAACAGCCTCATCATCATCGTTTTCCAGGCCAGGTTTGGTTTCATAATCTGTCCCCATGCCCTTCATGGGATGCATCTTGGCAAGTCTTTTACCCCCGATCGAGTTTTGACGGCCCCGAGAGCTCCGAAGCGGGCAAAGGGCAGAGATCGAGAGAAGACCCCTTAAATCCAAAGTCGAAGTGACCCCTGGGGGTGTTGGCAACCAGCGGCCATGCCTCACTCCGAAAGTGCGGGCGTTCAGACTCGCGCCGTACAGCGTCCGTCCTGGACGGCGGCCGCCAGCTGCGTGCTGCTCGGCTCGCCCTCCGCGTGTTTGCAGCCGTGTGCGCGATGTTTCGCGTCATCCCCCCCATCCCCCGGCTCAGCACAGAGGGATTCGTTGGGCCACGCGGCATCGATCGAGAAACGTGACATATGTTTCCAAGCGGCGCTTCCGCGTGGAGACTAAGACATCCGAAAGACCTCCTCCTCCTCCTGCCCTTTCGGCCAGCCGGTTCCTTTTGCCATGTTGGCGCAAGGTGGGGACGGACTCCACTTGAGCGCGGCATCTTTCTTAGGGGGCGATCTGGGCCACGTCCAGGCGGACACAACATTTTTTTTGTTTCTTGCCCCCATTCTGCAAATGGATGTCAGAGCGTGCGCCTCTCACTGCTGAAGAGAAGCTCCACGCGCTCATGGGTCGCATGGGCAGAGTGAGCGACACGTTCCAGAATGTCGCAAGCCTTTTCGCCATGGTAGACTCCCTTGCGGAGAAGGTAGATCGTCATCACGACCTGTTCAGCAAGCCTCAGGCCGACCTGGCCGCCATGCGAACGAAGATGGGCGACAATGCTTGCGGCCTGACCAAGTCGGGAAGCAGTGGTAGCGCATGGGCAGGAACTTCGACGGCTACGGGAACGAGCGGCTGGAAACGCCCTCGCGCGCCACGTCACCGCCTTCAGAGCGGCAGCCAGATTTGTGCAACATATAGATTGAAGGGTTCCAGAGGAAGCTGCTTGGCAAGCAGTCCGAGTTCCATTGGAACCAGTGCAAGACCATCTCCAGTACCGCCGTCTACGAGGCGGGCCATCCCATGTTCTACAACTTGCAGTACGCCTTTTTCGGTCAATGTCTAGTTCGCTGGCCAGGCTAAAGATTTCCTCTTCCGGTCTCGCACCAGTGACGCCAAGATGACATGGGCGGTTTCTCGACATGTGTGCGAGGCCTGGCCAGACCATCGACGTCTGCAGGAAGCAGAAGGCCCCCCCCTGAAAGATGTGGGATCCCATACTCACGAAGGCCGAGAAGAACGTGATGTGGGAAAGCAGTTGCATCTCGGCACCGAAGGGCCGAAATGCGCGCTCCTCGTCACCTCGACCGACGTCGCCTGGAACCTCGTCCAGCTCTCAACGAGGAGAACCTGAAGGAATGGTGCATCGTCGTTGGCCTGGCCGCCGACATCATCGCCGCCGCCACGACCGCCGTCTAGGATGGACGTCCGCGGTCTAGCCCTGACCGCCTTTAGACCGCATCTGCGCCAGTTGCTGTGTCTGCCTGCCTCCCTCCAAGAGAGCCAAGTTGCCGGGAAACCTTGGCCTTCGCAGGGCAGGCAGATCATTTTCCAGTAGCTCAACGTCTTCCCTGTCCTCCTCTCCCACCAGACCTGAACCGCCACCTAGAATGCGGAGTGCTTCCCGCGCTTCTTGGATCTCAGAGTTGTCGGAATTGCAGTGGGAGGTATCGTGCAGTTCGCGGCGCTGTTTCCAGTCTCCATGGATTGCAGAATCGGAAGCGAAGCGAACTCATAACTACATCCAGCGTGTCGGTGTACCGTATTATTCTGTCTGGAAGCTCACGGGACCCTAAGCGATGATGCGGCGATCCGCCGGCGTTCTCTTCAACGTCGGGCGCGCTCTACCTACCATCCCAAACCCTTAGCTGGCGGATGTAGAGCCGTAGACAGAAACCGTTGGTCTACCAAGTCAAGTTCACGCAACGCAAGGTCCATCAATATAGGTGGATCCATTGCATTTTCTTCTCGACCCCGAAAGGATGTCATCAGGTGCTCGACGTGCGCGTCGACCAGTGGGATGTTCTCTCTGCGATGCAGGGGCGCTGCGAGGTCCGAGCCTCGCGCGCGGTTTCTTTGGCGATAATTGCCATTGCCGAACCCCTGGCGAGGTCAGGCAGCGCCTAGATGGAAGGCCATCGCGCGGGAAAGCGCCCGGCAGCTACCACCTCGACTCCTTCTTCCAGGGGGGGGGCCAGGGCTTGGTCGAATAACGGCAGGAATGGCACGCGCAGATTCGAAACAGGATTGTGGCCTCAGAATGAGTAACCAGACTAGATGGCATCTACACCGGCATCAAAACCGCCACCATGCCCGACTTCCACCCCGCGACGGGCGCGCGCGATCGCGTTTCTGGCGCTGCCGACAGCGGCGATCTCGCCCCCGGCATTCTCAGCCGCGCCCCGGGCTCAGGCTTTAGAAGCGCCGCGCCAGGCTGGGTTGCAAAGCGCGTCGCGGTTGCCGGACACGCTGAGCGGATCGCGCGGGGGTGGGTGGGGGGGGGGTCGGAGGGCCCGTGGGCCGCCTTCCCGAGACGAAGTCGATTGCCGATGCAGCCAAGCAGGCGGCGCTAGAGGTACTCGCGCAAGCCTGCCCCGAGACCCCCCGCCCAGAAGATCCTGGACGTTGGCGCCCCAGAGAGCCGTTTCCAGATCTGACATGGCGTTCCATGGGGACTGGGTTTTGCGTTCATTTGAACATTTTCGGCGCCGTCAGAACTGGCAAGT